GAATGGAAGGTGAGGGGCGGTGGGAGAGGTGCCCCGGGAGCCTCTCGGCTGGGCGGCTCTGGGGCCACGCTGCCCCCTCGCCTGGTGCCACCCCAGCCCTGGTGCCGTGCAGACGTCAAGCACAGGCTTTGCCTGAAGCTCTGCACAGACAACAGACACCAGATCCTGGATGCAAAGGGCGCCGGCTCGGTCCCTTGGTGGGCTTTGATGACGTTCAGGTCTCAATGCAAGCTTTTACAGCAGCTTCCTCACAAGCTGAAACTCCCACTCATCGCTCTCCCTAAAACCGTAGGCTCCCCAAGCTCTTTTGCGTGTGTTGTATTCAAAGCGGTTTCACCCCAGATACATTTGTATTCTTCCGTTTGGCAACAAATTTGCTCTTGCACTGCATATTGCACATTTCCATCATCACCAAATCTTGCTGAACTGTTCCAGGGATAAGCTGTGCTTTATCCCCGGAACATTTGTAAGCACAAATAGAACATTATTCACTATGAAAATGAGGGTCCTGTAATGAAAAAAAAAAATCTTTCTGAGACTGCCAAGCGTAATTGTATGTTTATGTGCAATTTTCAGAAAATGGCTGTTGGTATTATTTGTTGTATAGGTTCCACTATTGGCAAATATTGATGTATAAGAAGCAAGGAAAACTTCCAACAAGAAAGAGAAATTCTATTCAGTGTAGTGTAAGAGTTACTTCTCTGAACTGATAATGATTTTGAAACGTGAATGGGAAGAGTCATATGTATTTTGTCCTAGATGAAATAAGTTTTCTTATCCGCGTATTCCAGGCCTGTCTTTATTATTCTTATTTAGAGTTTGGTATTACCTACAACTAGTGTGGAGATTTCTAAACAAAGATATTCTTGCCTTTCTCTGGAAAGTACAACCTGAATCAATCCTCATCTCGAAAGATCTTCACAGATTAAAAAAAAAAAAAGTTCCACTGAGCATTACTCTCTCTCAGTGATGTCTCTCTGCAGTATTCGAGTCTGAGTGTCTTTCAGGGGTGGTAGCAGGATTTCTTTCCAAGCCAGGCAGAAGAAAGACTGCACGTAAGCCTCAATTTTTAGCCACGGGGTTTGTTGAAGATCTGAAGCACAATCGCATGAGCCTCGATGGTAACAGCAAGCACAAATATGTTTTTCCTAAAGGAAAGATTCACCAGGGGGCAGCACAATATAACTTTTTATTGTAAAAGCAGTAGTTAATCATTAAGGTGTCTAAAGGGATTTTTGAAATTAGCTGCTTGTTGTTCCATAGTTATGATTGCAGCTAAGCTTCTCGTTAAAGCTGGCCTCTGAGCAGCTCCAAAATCCGTTAACCGTTTGGGGTCCAGGCATTCACCAAGTGAAAGCAGAAGGCTGTGTTTCCGTTGTATCTCCATGCCAGGTTTCCATCCTGGCCTGCTCACGTGGCTGATGGGTGCTTCTCCCACCCTCAGTATTTCAGAAGCTCCCTTGTGTGCCCAAAAGCAAACTGTTTCAGGCCTCATCATTTGGGAGGCATTAATCAGTAGGAATAAACTCTCTGATGACTGAACAGGAATCATTAGAAGGGAGCAGCGCTCAGCGGAAAGCGGATGTGCTTTCCTGTATTATGATTATATTCATTTCTTCTTGTCTTATAACAAGTAGACCGTTGAGCAGCCTCTAGGTTCCCTTTCCTGCACTTATCAAACTCCTGCAGTTTAAGAAGCTGAAAGAAATCACATCTCGCCTGCTCAGGCTTCTCTCGTGTAGGGCTTCATTACCACTTCATTCTTTGTGAATTTATTCCAATTTAGTGCTCGCATGAGTAACCAGTGTCTCTAGTAGTTGCCTCCCCTAGTTCAAGTGCCACTGTACTTTTCTGACCTTTCCTGACCTCTTTTTTTCAATTTGCAGTGAAAGCCTTGTATGTGAATTCTTGGTCTTTCACTGTAGAATAACTGCAGTTTCTGTCCTTGGCCCTTTTCTTGCCTCCATTTGGCTTCTGCCCAGTAGGATTTCTCATTGCTAGCTTCAGTCTTGCACTTCACTCTTGATGCTCAAACGCGCGTCTCTCTTGACTCTCTGCCTCTGATCTCAGTCCTTTTTTAAGCTCTATCTGCCAACTCCAGCAGCTGCTGCTCATCCTGTAACTTCCTAATTCTGTACAGGAGGCTTCAAAGGATGCAGCTCTCCTGTGTATCCTTGTCCCAGGCATCCTTAGCTTTCCTCAGCTCAGCTATTACCTTTACTTCATAAGGCCCGCAGGCTTAATACATAAGAATATATTTGTAGAATAAGAGAATAACTTTGCCTGTATATTAGCTTTTGGAATGTAACTTAGTCAGCTGCATTTTCTGAGAGGAACATAGTATTGTTCTTCAGTGCAGGCATAAAATCAGAAACTTATTTCTAGAAATAATGTAGATGGTTTCACTCGAGACACCTTTGTGTCTGCTTTAAAAAAATCAAATAATCCTTTGTTTCTGTTTTCAGAAAAAGGAGAAAAGTATTTTGAGATCCCTATTCTTTTTTCTTATATTTTCCTCTTTGTCCAATATTTAAAAAAATAAGGAGCTTTTTTCCGTTTGCATTCTCTCCTTGTGTTTTATTTGTGTCCTGACAAAATATCCTGACGAAAATGTCAGGACGAAAGGACAACAACAATGTTGAAAAAAACCTTTTTTTCAGTTTTCATTTTCTTCTATTTCCATTTCTGTCCTTTTTTTCCAAGGAAGGGAGAAAAATCAGTATTTTTCAAAGGCAAGAGGATGGATTTCTAAAAGTTTTAAGAGGTTGGAAAAATCTCTTCCAATGCACCCATCCAAGAGGTCTTTTCAGGCATTACAGCATATTTTCTGCTGACTGAATTTGATTCTGTTTCTCTTAAGGTCTCTCTGTTTTGCAGTCACTGGTGTGACTGTGTGTGTAGACACAGTGTAGACATAACCTAAGTTTTGCTTTAGTAGGTGGGACTGTATCAGACGCGTATCTGCCATTTAAATATTTTTTAAAGTGGCCTTTACTTGCTTTTCAGTGTTTAATTTTTCCAAGCTCCAACAATAACCGGAGAAGGACAGAGCTCAGCATCACACCAAAGGCCCCACAGAAGCCAGGCACGTGCTGGGCACGTCCAGCCTGCGATGCCTGCTGCGCTGGCTACCCTATTCCCGCAGCACAGAGCTGCCAGTAAGGCATCCACGTGCTTTGGCGAAGCGTGGTACACCTGCTCCTCCCATCCTTTGTGTTACTGGGTTTTAAAAGTTATGCATTATCTGATTTTCTTATTACTTAGCCAAACTAGAAATATTTAACTCCATTTCAAAGTCTGTCTTTCTAGGACGAGAAAGTTCTGTTCCTATTCTATCGAGTTCTCCAGCCTTAGGTCTTTTTCAGTGTATTCGTTATACCCTATGCTCCCCACAGTAAATATATACCAAACAGGGTAAATGGGACATCTCTAGAAAGGTTCAGAAAAAGGAATAAATTCCATATCTGTTTCCCCTCATTCTCATGGCAATTCCATTAATATCTAAAAAATGCATAAATATATTATATTACACGTACATATTAATATTTTTTAAAATGCTTCTGTTCACCATGGGTGATTTAGTAAGAGTTGGTTCTTTAGGAAATGTGTCCGTAAGTCTGATCCTGCGTGGCAGAAATCGATGAGGTAATTTTATATAGTAACAGGACTGGTGCTTGTAAGAACTACCTAGCCACATAACTTAGTATTTAAATTCCTTCTGCTCTTGTCCTTTGATGTGAGTGGTCTTTTTCTGGAAATTAATCTTTTTCTTATAAGATTTTAATACCAACCTGGTAAGGTAGTGCTTTTGATACAGATCTTACATTGTTGCATAATTGAGTTTGCTATTAAAAAGTCTGCTTCTGCAGAAAAACAATGCATGTATATATATAATATATATTTTATATGTATATATATTTTTGCAAATATATAGATAAAATGAGAGTGGTTCGAAGTATTTTTAGGCATTATTCAGTCTTGTGATAGTTTTTCATTCCCAGAAAGTTATTGCTGATTTCTTAGCCATTGTATTTTATTTGAATGTTTGTCAGTTCTGAGGTCTAGCTGCAAGGCTGTGACTTGACTTTGCATAGCGTATTTCTAAATTATGGAGACATTGATGTATTCAGCTGTGCAGAATGAAAGTCTTCTTTTTAATTTTGTCATATGTCAACAGTGTATTACATTAAAAATAAATACTATAGTTTAGCATATTTCCAATACCAGTATCATAATATATGCCTATATATATTGTGATATATCTATCATAAGTGCTGTTAACTTGGGATGTTTCTCCAGGAGCTGCTATGTTGTAGCAAAAGTTGCGTTTATTCAAGTTCTTGAAAAATGCTCTGGGTACTCTTCTCATTTGTTGTCTTTATTATCCTCAGTGGGGGAAAAGCAAAAAAAAAAAAAAAGAAAAAGTTCAATCTCATTACTGTCCAGTGCAGACTAATAAGAAAATAAGCATTTCATATGGGAAGAAAAATCTAGTCTACTGCAAGACATTTTTTATGGTATGCCTTTTAAAAACAACTAGCTTATTTGCCATTGTACTTTAAACACCTAGTCATGGGCAGGTGACAGGGGACGTTGAGAGAGAAGGAGGTGAAGGCCTCCTACAAGTCTCTTTTTGTCTTGCTAACTTTGCAGAGTTTAGTTGTTTTGAAAGTTCTCTTTTCAATGAAGTTAACAAACATTATTGCAAATAGATTACTAGACTTTTTTCCTCAAAGTATAGGTACAGAGATGCTGTATTACATGTTATTCATGTTGAGGTTGTTGATGCTTAACAGCTTGCATTAATATTTGACAAGATCTGTTCCATGTCACCATCGGAAATTCAGCTGAAAATCTCTCTGGCTGGCTGTCCTGTACTAAAAACTGTTTTTTTTGTAGAAGACCTGGATTTGACAAATCTCCCTTGTCAGATTTGTATTTACCAAATTAATTATCTTCAGAATCTATCATGACTTCTAAATATGATTTTCTGTGTGCAGCAACAGAGGTGCGCTCACCACAGATGCCAGCCCTCTCCAAGGAATAACCTCTTCATCCTGAAGTGTCACCAGCTCCTGCTAGTATAATGGGACCAGACAGTGGCTTCTTAGGCAGTGGGCAGGTCCACGTCATCCTATGGGGAAGTTTGGCAGCTATGACCACACTCTTATTCCTCACCTTCCTCATCTTCCTCTGCTCCAGCTGCAACAGGTAAGACTCAGTAGTTGAGAAGGCAGTAGCTTTTCTTGAATCAGGTGTCGCATGAATTGACATAGCTTTGCTAATAACCAATTAACAAGAAATGCTGGGGACTGAGGTACCGAAATAAATTACCACAAAATAATAAGTTACTGCAAAGTAGCCACTTCATATTTTCGGAGGGCTAAGTCAATTCATGCTGCCCTGCCTTTGTGATGGTGTCCCTGCAGGCACTTCTGTGGGTTGGCTTACTCACATCGGCTTTTATCCCCGTGGTACTGTATTTGGGAGTTCAGCCCTGAGTGTGCAGCATTTCTTTTAGAGCAAACTTGAAAACTTCTTAATGGTTTTCTGCTGTAAAGAAACAATCTAAATATACTTTTTTGCTGTAAAGGAAAAATGCTATTGTGCCTGCTGGGTGCTTTCTCATAAGCTGAGGGCTGGACTGCACAGGGACATTGACAGTAATAACCTGTGGTGCAATGTCCATGGCATGATGGGAAGAGGAGTAGGGGGCAGCACAAGCTGTTTTCGAAACGTTGTCCATTCTGCACTTAGACATTGGATCACCTTCGTGGTGATTCTTCTAAATAGGCTTCATGGATTCTCCTAAACATCAGATTACACTGTTACCTTAAAACTTAGCTAAAAAACATTTTTGAAGTCAATACTTCTGTCTGTCCTGAACAGTTTCTTCATACCAGCAGTAGTATTAGGTGGTGCTTTGTAACTAGCTGAAGGAGTACAAAATGTCTTTCAGTAAAGACAAAGCAGAAAAGTTTTGCTTTTCACTTTCTTAAAAATTGAAAATATGGCAAAACTCTTTTAAAAAACATAGAACGAGTCAGCACTGATCTGAGGAGGGAAAAGGGAAGGCCACACAGCTTTGTGTGCCACAGGAGAGTGAGCCAGACCAAAGGGCCCAGCTTCACAAGTAAATTTGAATTTGAGACACCACGTGTTTTCCAGCCCTCAGGGTAGCAGTTCCAATGCTCCCAAGCTTCTGCAGGACAGAAGTGGCACGTTACTTCTAGTCCCTCTCAATAAATACTCATCAGCTGCATTCATTCGTACATCTGCAGTTTAGAGTCTGTGGTGCAGCCAGCTGGAACGGGTAAAGCAAAGCCACCTTCTGTCCTCAGTCTTTCTGGGAGGTGTCCTCCTCCATCTGATACACACGGAGGACAGGGCGGACACAAGAAGTTAAATTCTGCTTTTCCAATTCAGCATTTGGAATATTAATCTGGCCAGGTTTTGTGAGAGAACAGAGAGTTTTGTAGAATGAGCTGAAACTAAATGTTTCTATAACCTGTTATCAATTTAGAAAATTAGGTCGGCTGAACAGGACAAAAAATATAGGTAAAAAGAAAAGCCCATAAGAAGAAAAAAGAAAATTCCTATATTTCAAAAGCTTTGCTTTAGCCATTGCTGGAGACTGGGGAATTGATCCTGCTGTTCAAGCCAAAATGATTAAGAATCAGAGAAAAATACCAATTAATGGCTTGAACTCATACTTTATTCTCCTCTCTGTGAGACGCTTTGATTCCAGCAATGTAGGCACTTTTACTGACTTTATTTTTTCTGAAATTTCAAGCCCCTTTCAAAACATGTGAACTTAGCCCAACTGGTGAAATAAGGGACAGTTTTAAAACATGCTTTCAAAAATAAGTGCATGCAACTATATATGATGTTCTCCAAGGTTTTGAAAATGTGTCCAAAATCCTGATGGATTTTTGAAAGGAAAAAAGTGCTCTCAATTTCCATTTAATTTATGAAATGAAAAGAAATCCTTTGGGGGGGAGGGGTCAGGGGTTATACATGCAGAGCATCAGCATAGACTCCAGCAAACAAGGCTTTCATGAGACGCTTCTGTTTTCTCACCCCTCAGAGGCATTTCCAAGAGGAGGCAGTGGCAGTGTTGTATTTCCAGAGGAAGTACAAGGAGTAGAGTGGGAAAGGCAGCAAGTGTAAGCCTCCAGCTGTGCAGCAGTGGCAGAAAAAAGCATCTGGCAGAATTTGGGCTTGTAGGTTGGTTTAATCTATGCCACAGTCTTGTCAAAAATAGCTAAGAGCAGGTGCCTTTGCTATGGTTCTGCATCAGTGTAAGTGGGATTCATCTGAATCCTCGTCAGTTTACATGAGGGTAGGCTCTTTTAATTTTTTTAGCAGAATCAGTCCATTGGGTATGTCTTTATAGTTACGCAAATTCATTGTCAGAAGCTCTCTGATGATGCCCTTTAGTATTTTATTGTGCTGCTAGTCTGGACACAGTCTCTTTTATTTCAGGTCGTTTTGTAGGGCAGAGTGTTTATGCAGAAGTGCAATGATGTAAAATTTCTTCCTAGCTTACTCTTTAAATATTGTTGATGACATGAAAAACTTAGCAAAATCTGTTATGTTCAGGATGCATTGTCAGAACATTTCCAGAGAGGAAATGAAGCATTTGTAAACTTTAGCCATGCTCTGCATGGTCTGGACGTTGGTACAAACTTACTTGATCCAATTTATCAGTTCACAGTTAGGTAGAATTTTAGAGATTGCTGATGTGGGAAATATGCTGCATTAGAAACTTCAGAAAGAAGCACAGATTTCACTTCATCAGTATTTTCTCACCTTTTTATTTGCCTTTCCATCTAGGTGAGGGACTGTTGTTTTAAGCTCATGGTTTATTACAGTATTGCAAAGTAAGGGCTACATTTCCAAAAGGGCAGAAACTGGGAACATAATGCATACCTTGAGTACTGTGGAGCCTAATTAACCATGGCTCATTTTACAATGAAATTCAAGGCCTCTACTAAAACAGCTACTATGTAATTTGAACTTCTCTCGGTTATTTTCTGCTTAAATTTTGTTCCCAGTGTTATATATACCTGAGTGGGAGCGGGCTGGATTTTGTGGGCCTTTTCTACTTCTTTATAAGACAAACACCCTTTACTAACAGAGGGTAAGGAACTTTACAGGTAGTCTGTCACCAAAACATGTGCCTCATGTATCACTGAACATTTCAGATGTGATTTACAGCGAGGATATTTTTCATCGTATTTTGGTTATCATCAGTTACTCCTTACTGTGATCGTACAACTGGTACAAGAAAAATGTTGGTGTGGTTGGTTTGTGTTAGATATGTTCATCACCATCTTGCCTTGTGGTGACCTTACACTGAGGTCATACCAGGTCTTGTAATAATTTGCAGTTACTCGCGTTACAATACTATGGTGAATCGCAGTTCTGCTCCCAGGAGGTGCGTACACTCTATTAATGATGGGCATTTGTTTATTAGCATAATTTGTAGTAACAGGTTATACTTCTTCACTAAGGGAAAAGAAGGCCAAGCATCAGTATGGAGATCATGAAAATCTGATGAATGTGGTAAGTATTTATTTCTTTTTATCTTATTTCTGTTTTATTAGCTGGTTGGTTTGCACCAAGGCCTTTGCAAAGTATTGCAGGTTGGAAAATAGATAAGGGATTTATACACTGTTGAGGAAGGGAAACTTCAAAAAAAGTTTCAGAATAGGAAAGGGAGGATAACTGCTGTAAATCCCAGCGATCTGCAATTTCGTTTGCTCTTTGTGGCACTGTTGTCACCAGATCTCCTGCCTTTCTTTCAGATTGCTGTGCAAGTGCAGTGTATCTGCTTGTCAGCTGCTCTTATCTGACTACTTAAAGCTATGGTAATTTCTAGCACTACAGAGTTTGGAAGGGAGATCACCTCTAGACATACTTGCATTTTTTTGTTTTAACATCTGTAAACAGAGGCACATAAAACTTTTAAGTGCAGAAGGCACGATTTGTCTCTCCCACCAGTACTGCCTGTGAGTTAGAGCTCCGGAGATCAGAATAAAATCCATGGGGTATCTAACTGTTTCTGCAAACATTCAATCTACCCAATTTGTGTTGTAGCCTTCTGATAAGGAGATGTTCAGCCACTCTGTCACAAGTTCAGCTACTGAGCCTCCTCCAAGCAGCGACCAGAACGGGGCACTCAGTAATGGCGAGGGTGAGTAATTCATTCCCTGCGAACGGGCTGAACAAGAAGTGCCATACCCTTGCTCGTAGTTCCCAAGTTAGCTGCTCTCTGACACGTTTGTAATCCCTCACGGCTTAGGTTTCTAGCCGTCAGCTTTCCTCGGGCACAGTCTCGCTGTTTGCCTGAGCACCCTGTGTTTTGCTCTGATCACCCCTGGAGGTCTGACCCCAGAGCAGGCGCACAAGTCCTGTGTCCCAGGGCAGCGAGAGGGTATACAGCTCTCTGAAAGCAAGCCCTTTTTGGGAAGAACGTAATTCACACAAAACTCGCGTTAAAGTGAGAAACCCTGTGAGCGTTGCTGCCTTGCAGTCAGCCACCTTCCCGTGGAGATGCTGGCTGGTGGTTTCAGGTTGTAGCGGCAACTCCCTGCTGGCTGTGCTGTGGCACAGCCCTGCGCCTTGCCTCCCAGTCCTCCAGGCCACCCCACAGTGGGAAAGCGCTGCGGCCCCCTCCGGGCCACAAGCTACATTTGAGAGAAACCAGGTCGTCAGGCGGAGACTGCTGCCCTCCCTAATCTATGCAGCTGGGATGTGACCAAAGACGCAGTTGGACCTAGGAGCTTCAGAAACACTCCTTGAGCCTTTAGAAATATTTCAGGCTCTCCCCCAGAGCCTACAGCTGTTGATCATAGTCCCATGCTGTCTGAGGCTGTCGCTTGGTAAAGACTTTAAAACATCAGTGCCAGCTTAAAAATGCACCACTTTCTACCGTGGCCTCTTCTTCTCACTCATACGCTCTCCTGTTCCCTGCATCACAAGCGTGCAACTTCATGGTGAACCCAGCAGAGGAATAGATCCAGCGAGAAAATAACCTCCTTTTGCTGGACTAAAGTGTTAGTCAAACGCCAGTCTGAGTTTGAGAGAGTGTATCTGCCTCTCTCCTTACAGGTGCAGTTAGGTCACTTCCTGGCATTTCAGGTCCTTCATCATTGTAGGCCTTTAGGTCACATCAGTCTACGTTTCCTCTCAGCTGGCATGAAACTTCAAAAGTTTCCTAACTAGGCCTTGTTAGTGAGATTGGTTCAATACTGAGGATTTGTCTCAATTAAACTCCATTGCCCCTAGATGCTGCAAGAAGGATTCTTTCTTTTGATTGGGAACACAGTTGCTTTCAGGCACAGATTAACAGTAGTTTTAGACTCATCCAAAACAGCTACTACAAACTGAAAATTGTACGTTTTTTGTAATCTCTTTCTTTGCCTCTTTATTTTTCCCAGTCTCTTCGTCCACCCTCCACAAACTAAACTGGGCTTAGCTATATGCATATAGGTCATGCCATTGAATTCATGTATCGTTAAACTTGTACGTATTAATGGGATCAGCACTGTGAACACCTCAAGGCCTAACCTAGTCCTCCCTTAAGATTAGGAAATGTAAAAATTAATTTTAGGCACAATACAAGAAGAGTTAGTAGATAAGGAGCATGCACAAAGCAGTCCAGGTCAAAAAGTAAGTGCAACACACTTCCGAGTCCTTAGTTCAAGGGGAACTAAGCAGTTTTCTTGATCCCTGGAATGTATTTTTGTACTTTAGAAAACAGGAAACATAAATAGGCTTCCTTTTTTTTTAAACTTTGCTTTGCTGAATGCTCAGAATGATTCACACTTAAGTAACATTGGAAAATATTTTACTTAGCTGAACCTAAAAATAAACACACTCGCAGTTCAGAGCTCCTGGGAGCCAACTGTTCCCTCTGAGTTAGACGCTGACACACTGGGCTGCGTTCCCTAGTTTATAGCTAAACTCCTAATCTCACCATGAAGCTGGAGACTAAATTATTAAATCTTTGCCTCTTGGAGACAAGTAACCAGAGGAATTTTTAAACTTTCTTTTTGCAGTTAATCCCTGCTACTTTCCATTGACTTGTTTCATATTTAGGAGTATTTACCCACAAAGTGATTCAATGCGGAGAGCAAAGCCGTACAGGAGGGGACCCTTTCTGTTTGCCATTAGTCACCACGCACTCAGCTGTCAGAAGGTGCTACTAAAGGGCATGCTGTCAACTGTCAGACAGTTTTTAGACTGTCTGATACTACTCAGCATAACAACCCTTCTGACTAACTGGAACTGTTTAGCCTTAATTTCTTATTTCTACTTCATATGTATTTATATGTTAATAGTTCTGTCTTTCTTTTGCTGTTGCTGTTAGCCTTTTGAGAAGGGACAAGGCTGTGGAAGCAATACCATCAAATATATATTTTTTTCCTTTGCCCAGTTTGCCAGCATTGTGTTTGTGGCAGCACACCTAAGCCAGCCCCCTGTGCTTCAGCGCCAACGGCACAGAAGCGCGAGCTCTCACTGCCTCTGATTATCCCACCGCACGCTGAGGCAGGTGGATGGTACCTGGGGTCAGCGAAGGTGCTCTGCATAGCGCACAATGTCCTGAGCGCAAGGGCCAGAAGGGAAAAACAGACGTTGCAGCTTCTCCAGGTGGTTCCTGATGTTCCTCAAGAACTGTGCAGGACACCTTGTGTGTCTCCAATTCCTTCCCCGTCTTGTGTGTCTCCAATTCCTTCCTCGTCGCGTGCAGGAGTCAAGTGACTTGGGAAGGGTGTTTTCCTTTTCTTCTCCTCACATTTCCCATTCAGACAGCGATTAGCATCTCAGACAGCGATTAGCATCTCACACCTTAAGTTCCATCCTGAGTTTTGCTGTCAGATTACAGCTCTCTAGGGGGGACCTGAGTGTATAAGAGTGTGTGCCCAAAGCACAAGAAAAAGAAACATATGTGACAACCACCAAGGCAATAGTACTGAATGTTTTGGCAACACTCTATGTGGTAATGTCAAATACACTAAAGAAAATGGAGGAATGGATTGATTTTTCCAAGTCTGAGAGAGTGCCACAGGAACTGTACTAAGAAGAATAAAACTATTCAGAAGTGATTTTTTCAAGGAAATGAGGTCACGTAAAGTAACATACCATATACTATCAGAAACATGCTCGTGTGTGTCCATATATATATCCGTGACTGCAAGCACGTCATACATGTGCACTGTAAGATGAGAAGTCCCATAGATTTCCATCCCTACTACCCATTTTGACATGTGACAGTGATAATGACAGTGACATGTGACCCACTTATGTGACTTAAAATAACGTATTCTGCCTAACACCACTTTCTGAAGTCTAATCTTCTCTTCTCTTTTGTGCATATGGCTGACTCGTTAGTAAGTTGTCAACCTACATTATGTGCTGCGAGACTAAGAAAAGTATGGCATAGCCTTCCAATAAGGAGCTGCTGGTATATTGTGCAACAGGGCTGCCTTCAGCAAGGTGGAAGTAGGTGTAGTTCAGGCTCAGATTTGGCCAGCATGTTAAACAAGGTGAGGGCTGGGAAGGGAGAAAGCAGGGATGTCTTCTCTTCTGATTCCAAAAGATAGGGAATTGGAAAAAGAAAAAACTAACGAGACCTTTTTTTAAACACACTTGGTTCTAGACCTCACACCAGTTTTCCCCATGGGAGGATACTGAGCGGTCTGTAAGCGTTCAATAAAGCTGAGTACAAGCTAGCTGAGCACACCTGCATACCTGCACCTGTCCACCGATCCTCTGTGCTCACTGTGAACACTGTTGCTATATAAAGTGATTTGAGGGTGCACGGAGCATTTATGATGCTGTGAGAATTATATTTCAGCAGCAGAGTGCAGCAATCTCCTTAACAGAAAATTTTTGATAAAAGGAAAGCATGATGACTACTAGACTATTTCAAGGTATTTGTATCATTTATCCTTTTCAGTGAGAGACGCAAAAACAAAATAATGTAGCATGTACTAAATCACGCTCAGCTTTCTTAGTCATGCAGTTGTTTTAAATAATTCTTCATAATTTTTTCTAGTTCTCTCGGAGGACAGTACAGCTGCCTGCATCCAGCCTTATGAAGAAGTACAAACGTCTGTCTCTGATCTGCTAGATCAGCAAGATAGTCTTGGAAAATCCATTAAATGTCACCAGAGCCGGGAACTACCTAGTATTCCTCCTAACAGTACCATGGAAACCATCATCTCAGCTGGAAATGGAGAAAATGATCAAGGTCTTGGAATGGAAGGGCCTTATGAAGTCTTGAAAGACAGCTCCTCTCAAGAGAACATAGTTGAAGACTGCTTGTATGAAACTGTGAAGGAAATTAAAGATGTCGGAGCAGTAGCCGACATGGAAAGAAGCTGTAACAACAAATCAAGGTCTTCACTTATGGTTTCTGAAGGTCAGGATCAGATCCCTGAGTGCAGAATTGAATCAGCAGAATATGCGTCTGTTGATCGAAATAAAAAGAGTCGCCAAAGTGCTAATTCAGACAGCCCTCTTGGCAACACACCAGATGTAGAGGATGAGCCCCCCCCTCCAGTACCCATGAAACTTCTTGATGAAAATGAGAATGTGCAAGAAGAAAAAGTGGAAGAAGAAGAACAAGGAACAGAAGGAGCAAGTAAACCAGAGAAGGTAAACATTACAAAGTAGGATGCAGAAATATGAAAACGTGCAGTATAACCTCCAAATTATTGTCGTGTGTTCATTCTACTGGAACCTCAATTTTGAATTGTTCCAGTGTGCTGTTCCCAGATACCACCTAGAAATTGCATAGGAAGCTGCTTCTTCTTCTTCAATGGTGTTATACTAGTAGGAGCTATTACAATAGGTTTACAGGGTCTCTGTTAGCGTTTGCATCTTTTTCAGAATCTCCTACTTGTTTTTTTTTCCTAATAAAATCTAAATTTACAAAAAGGAGAGTGGGGTGGAAGCCCTACCTTTAGAAATGCTTCCTTTCTGGGGCCACGTCGGCTGAGCTGTGTGAGTGTTAGGCATCCGCTCTAAGCCACTCAGCTAGTCTCCCTTTGCAGGGGAAAGGGACAGAGAGGGACAGAGAGAATAGCAACTGTAGGCTTTTAAAAAGTAAGATTTGCTTTTTGTCTTGTAATTGCTATTCAGCAGTTCCTCAGTACAAAGGGTCACAAATGAAAAAGTACTGAACTAAATACCCATATTAATCCTTTACAGCATTAGGTCCATAAAAGATGTGAGCAGTTTATCAACCTACAGATTTTATACTTGTCGAATTCTGTATGTCACATGTAAATAGAGAAATGAATTTCTGCCTGGTGAAATGACAGCTGAAAGTTGCCTTTTATCAGCAACTTATTCATTCCCCCAGAGTGGGGACAAGTTAGTGGTGAATTCCTTGAAAAACAGAATGATCACATTTTCAGCAAGTTAGTTTATTTTACTATTTTAATTTTTTTTGCCAGAACTAATTTGAAGGATCCTTTCTGCTCACCACACTGAGTCATCACAAATTGTTGGGTTTGCATTTTTTCAGAACTAGTTTAGATAATTTGTTATTAGTTGTGAATGAAAGCACTGTGATTTTAGCAGGTTAATATAATTTTGGTGTTCGAGTTGTCAAATAACGTTAGACTGATGAAAATTTTCAAAAATCTTTACGATTCAGTGTGACGTTTTAATGTAAACATTTATCTGAAAAAATCATATCAGAGCTGAGGATTTGTTACTTGTTTCTGGCCTTTCTCTTATTTGAAGTATTTCAATAATCCAGGAAGAGTGCTGAAAAATACCTTGTTAAGTAAACCATACTGATAAGCCATGTGACATATAAAGCATAATAGAGTCAAAATGAATGAATTGACGACTACTCAAAATCTAAAAATTGTTCATCAAGATTCTTCAGTGTACATTCCTGCAAATAACAAGCTTGTTAGTAGAAAATTGACATGGGTTTGTTAATGATACCCTCTCCTCCTATCACCAAATTCAGGGCATACATAATTTCTAATTAATCTTTTAAAGAAACAGCTTTCAGTAACAATGACATTTTTCCTACCAGGTGTGAAAAGTCTTCTAGAAAATCATTATATTTCCCAGTCACTGTTACAAAGAAAATGCATTTACTACTCTGTAGTTCCCCAACACACCATGTATATAATGTCAGTAACTGCAAGGACAGGGAATTGATTAAAATGGTTCCGATTTTGAAGGATTAATCAAGAGATGACACATGCAGTCCCCTAAGCGCCAGAAAAAAAGGTGTTTGTCTAATTAAAATTTATTCAAAGCTAAAGTCATTCTGAATTAAAGCTTTGGCAGCATCAGATCGTTCCCGCGTACTCTGCTAGGTACATGCATTATGCATTGAAGCGTGTGCATGTCCTGTCCTTGAGAGCTACAGCTGCAGCAGAGTTGAAAATGGTAATTGATTGAATATATAAATGTCATTATTGTTGGCATTGTACATGGAGGTGGTTGTGGGATTGTTTTCCTATTATGATGATGACAATTTTTCCCCCTTTTTTACTTCTTCAACCAGTGTACAGCAATGGCTATTTTTTCTGATGTGGCAACCAAAAACAAATTATTCATGTAAATATATTTTAATTTTACCACTCTTTTAGTTAAACAGATTCCATATGTGTCTCTTTTTGCTTTGTCTCTTGTGAGCTAAGAAGATTTAGCTGTCTTGCTTAATATGACATCTGTTTCCCAGCTTCTTCAACCGACTGTGCTGACCCGTGATGAGCAGGGAAGTTGGACGTAGCAGTCACATGAATCCACCTCCCTGCAGTGAGGTCTTGCTTAACAGGGCACAAAAACAGCAGGCTCCAGGCAGTGAAAGGCCATCTGCCTGGAGCAGGTAGGGTGTTGATATAGCTGAGACTATTGTACCTGTGAAGGAGACGCGCCTAGGTTGTTTCAGTCTCCTGCCTCTCAAAAGAAGATGGCCTCGTCCCAACCGCACTGGGAATGATTGCCAGCCTACGTCAATCCCTGCAACGTAATAGGAGGGGCAATGTTAGTTGGTCCAAGCCAGAGACCATTCCAGTATTTAAGGGTATAAAAAGGTGCTCCGGTATCACAGACAGTCCTTGGCACTGTTTAATTTACCAGCAGAGCTATAGCCTGATACAAGTGCATAGTCCCTCTCCTACGAAGCAATGTAGAAGCGCTTCACTTATTCAGAATTCTTCCCTGTAGCACTGACATGCTGTTAGATACAGGGATAAAGGTTCACTTAAAGAGCTAGACATGCAATAAACCAGGAAAAGTGGTTATCTAAACATGAGCCAGCCAAATCCTGTGGAAGATTTTGGTGAAGAAAAGCACCTTTGATAGCACAATAGCCTCTAGCACAGGACTCTAGTGCCTGGAAAAACTTGGGAGTAGTTCTTCTAATAAAATGGAGGACTCGGGGTTTTTTTTTTTTGATCAAAACAGAAGCATAAATCTCCTTTTTACCCAGGTTTTCCTAGAGTGAGGAAGCTCAAGCATACTGGGAGAAATGCTCTCTCTCTCTCTCTCTCTCTCTCTCTCTCTCTCTCTCTCTCTCTCTGTGTGTGTGTACAGCTGGCTGCTGCCCATCTGATTTCAGACTTATACAGCCCGAGGATGGGCAAAGCATCTCTCACAAACGCACCCGAGGAGAATGAGGTTCTTGTTCTGGTGCCTGAGTCAGGAGCAGCAGCTGAGCCAAAGAGCAAAAAATCAAGTGCTGTTGAGGAACAAAAGGGAAGTGGAAAGAAAATAGGGACACATTCTGGGGTTTTTTTGCTGCTGTTGAAGTTTCAAGCTTTATGTATGATGTTGCTAGGTGCAATATGTTTAGGCGTAAATATTTTTTTTCAGTTCCCAAGAGGACGAGATCCTTCAAAACTGATGGGTCACAGGTTCTACGTTTAGACAACAGAAAGAATGTGACGTACAGGGGAAACAAGAGCCACATTGTTAGCTCTCTGGGGTATTTCTTAGTACTTGAATGGAGAAACATAGAAGGGCACCTGATCCATGGTGCTTATAGACACCCTAATTTAAAAAAATAGTATATTGCCCAATTTCGCTAGCACCATTTGTTTTAATGTGCAAGGACGAAACTAGTAACTAACTCGTCAACAGTGAAAACACACTGCAAATAAGAAAGACTGAAGTGAGCTGCTGTAGCATAGCAGATCTAATAAAAGACTCTGCTGAAATATGTGTGAACTTCTTTTATTTTTTTAATTGCATGAGTAAACAAAGCACAAGTTAAAGAGAGCATTGCCTAGACAGTGAGACAGAAGCAAGGGAGCTAAGGCTGAGCTAAAGCCTGCTGGGACCAGTGGGCAGACTTCAGGGGGCTTTGGGTCAGAAACTCCGTCAGAACTGCGTCAGAAGTTTAAAACTTGATGTTTATCAGGAGTAAAAACAACAGGAAAAATTGAAGTAGGAAAGCATCTGTTATAATAAGAGTATGAATAAAGTCTGTATCTAATATGTTCCTGGAAGCTGGATTTGATTAACTGAGCCAAAAATAGCTCTACTTCTCAGTCTTAGTCTGCTCTGGAGGAGGTCTGAAATATTTTGAGTGGAGAATTTGAGTAAAACTCCAATATATGGCCAGTTAAAAACTGTGCTGAAAGGCTCCCTCTGAATCACTGTGGAGCAGAAACTACAGCAAAGTCTGCTTGCTCCAGCGAGGAGGAACTATGCATCCGCTGGAAGGCAGCCAGGGTCGTGATTGCCATAAAGGTCCTGACACCTTTTTCTTAAAAAGCAAAAGGGTTTGCCGTGGTGTTTCATGACCTAATTTCTACGTTATGTTTTGCATGCCTAAAGTTAACTTGACACTCAACCAAGCCTTCCATCGTCTGCACTATTATTAACTTTAATATGTGGATTGCATCCAGACCAATGCTTTTGAGAATTTAGCTTCTCCTTTCAGGTTGGGTCAATCAGGTCTTTTCTGTGTTTCCGGCTGTCACCTGTTGTGCGGCAGCGTTGCTGAGCACTAAGGAACAGCTGCTGCCTTCCATGGTGGAGGCGGCTACAGCTTCTTGCAGCCCTTCTGGAACCCTTTGAATGAAGGATAATAATCATCAGGAAGGTGCTAGCCTAGGTCTTTCGAATCTAGAAGTATATATACAAATTATGTAGAAGGCTGACTACCATTTCACAACAGTTCAGTTTTAATTGCTAATATGCCTTTGCAAACTCTTTCTCACTTCATTAGAAATCTAAATGCAGGGATACAGTGGAGCAGAGTTCATTCTAACCTTTACATTATTTTCACTCTTTTTAGGTCAGAACAAGAACTGATACATTAAAAAGCTCTGCTAACCTCAGAGCTGTTGATCTCCAAAGACGAACTCTGGATACTAGCTATGTAAAATGGAACTAGTGAGCAAATGACCATAAAATATAATGTATTGATTGTAATGGGAGGGTTTTTTAATAGGTTTCACACTGTTGACTAGTAATGAACCTTTCTTTTTTCTTTCTTTCTTTTTTTCAGAGGCTTAGTTCAGTGTCTTACAAGTCTCGAGAGGAAGATCCATCTCTTACAGAAGATGATGTAGGTTTCTTGCATGAAGTTCATGACTAACTAGAGACCTTTTTTCAGGCAGAAATTAGCATAAGCCCTGCATGATTAAGCAGGATCTAAGAATGGTGAAAATTGTCTGAAGGGAAAATAAAAGTTTTTCTGTACAGAGTTTGTAGAACCACGTTCCTAAAATCAGAAGTATCTTAGCATTTGGTTTTATCAGGCCAAGAGGCTAAAAAATAGCGTCAGTAAGTAATGGGAGGCCAACTATCTGACTGCTAGAGCAGCTTCTTCCTTGATCTGGATGAAGAGTGCTACTTAAGAACGGTAATCAATGGCCTTCTGAAACACACTCCACCTTTCCCATTTAAAGTGTTTGGGGCTCAGAGAAATAAACTGAAGCACAATGAAAGCACTGGAACATAAACTGTTCCTTAAAATGTTTGCTAGTCAAATAAATTGAGGAGATTGAAACAAAGACAGAACAGTTAAACAAAAATAAGGTTGCCTGTGATCATCTCCAATAACCCCTGTGCAATCTATAAATACATTCTCCAGACATAAAAGTAAACACAAATTTGGCAGTCAGCTGAGTGAGCTAATGCTTTCTGCTGGGAGAAGCGCTCACAAACATTAGCAAATACACTGATCCTTGAACTGGGTTCATGTAATTTAATGCTGGAAAGAGGTGGATGTATGTCTGAGCAGAAGAGCTCTTTTCTGTTTGTTTGGCTGAAATATGTAAAAGGTAAGAAGTATTGTCACCAGCAATTTGGTGTCTCTCTTCATCAGAAAAAATTAAACACCATATTAATGGAAGTGATTTGGTTCATCTGCACCACTCAGTGTTGTTTAATGGTAATGGACGTTGTCATGCCTATCTACTGTTTAATTAGTTTAATCCAATGCACAGTGGCCTTGCATGCTTGGTAAAGATTTTAAATGTAACAAAAGAGCTGTGTTGCAATTGTGTTGTTAGATATCATAAATCTGAAGCAGGGGATTTCAGCCTTCTGCCCTGTAAGAAGGGTATTTTATGCTTCAGTTGGAAGGGGGAGTCAAGAGTGTCTCTCTATGCTCAGCAGCAGCCCTGCCAAATCCTGTCAGTGTTTGAGGGAGGAGCAGAGGAGCAGAGGCATGAGCTTCTCCATTGGGTCTTCATTAAGAGCCTTCTTCAAGCACTAGTTTGAGCTTACCACCTATTAGATCAAGTCTGAATGGATTTCTAGAATTCAGCTCATGTGAATTATGCCATTAGACAAACTGACTTTCAGGCAAACTTTTTCTGCCCTTGTTTGAGATCTCCTGTCCTACGGACTCCGTTTGGAGCTAGTGGGAGCTAGACTCCTGCTCCTGCCCTTCTCTTTATAGGAGCTGAGAGGTCTCAGTCTGTAGTCTTGGATTGAGAGTGACTGATCTGCAGCTCCTCTTCATAGGCAGCGCGTAGCCAAAGGAACAGACCTTACATGTCAAGATCAGCGCTGACTAGTGGTATTTGCTATTATCTGGTGTGATAAACTTCTTTCCGTATTTTTAATTTTCTTTTCACATATCTTGGTCCCTCCTAGTGTCTATAATCACTACACACCACTACCATCCTATTGTAGCGTAAGGGTTGAACAGTAGCCACTACCATAAAAAATAAAAAACAAGGTTCGAAATGCATCCTTCTCTGACTGAGATTCCAGCAGGCAAAACTGATCATTCCTGTGATAGCTGTCTCCTTCAGCCCAGGTTGACTCTAAACCACAGCAAAGCTTGCAAGAGCTCCTGCTCATGTTCTCTTTGGCCCTGGATTTGATTTGCCTGCAGGGGAATTTTGTTCAGAGAATTTTTACATTTATGAACTTCAGCATTCTTTTTTAAAGGAAAATCAATTCATAAACGTGTGCAAGACAAGCAAAGTTTGTAAGGAAAGTTTATTTTTTTATTGGATGGTCCTATCTTTTATTAAGAACCTGATATACTTGCAGTAGAAGGGGTACAAACTAGCACACATGCTTAAATACTCAGCAGATGTCTCCTTGTTCTAGATCTCAGCCATGTACTCTTCGGTGAGTAAGCCAGGACAGGCCATCAAGGCACTGGATTCTACTTACACCTGTATTCAAGAAGTTGCATCTCCGAGGTCCCCATCGATTTGCAGTGGCCTCTATGCAAGCGTAAAGGACTTTGAAAACACCCTAAATACTACCATTGTGCCTCAGTCAGTGGACAGACCAAATGGGGAGCTGGAGCCTGACTATGAAGCTATCCAGTCAATGAGCCAGGAAGAAGATAGGACATTGTCTGTGCCTAACGCAAACCACACTGCTCTTTCAGGAGAGAATGACTATGAGAGTATAGGGGACTTGCAGCACCACAGGGATTTCACTAGACTTTAATTACTCTGGCAGCCAGATTTCAGCATTTATTTTATCAGCTGGCATTTTCACAGGAACATGTGAAACAAGGAGAGCGTGCTCCTCCTCCTGAGGACTCAAGTTAAGTATGGAAAAAAGTTGTGAGAAAGCAACGCATGTTTCAACCAGCGTGCAATATCTGTTGGGTTATTCTTGGTCGTGGATTGCAGCTCACTAGAAGGGTTGCATCAGTTCAGAATTAGGATCAAAACAATGTAAAGGCTTCTTTATTGTTACTTCCAAGACAACTAGAATTTGGGAAAGAGGGGCATATTTGTTTTCTTAAGAAGATCATGTACCAAAAAGATTGCCTTTACACAGAGCTAGCTTTTCATTTTAAAAGATTATGTCCTTTCTTTCAAGGTGTCCTTCAAGAATCATTTTTCATTAAAGTTCAACCATCATCTTCATTGAGCAAACTGCAGATCATCATGCCTCAACTCAGACTTATTTTGCAGAGGTGGGGAAGGTGTGTTAACTTCCATGTCTTTTGAGGAGCTCTGTAATTCAGCTTTGAGGACTATGAGCCCTTGCAGCCAGAAGGGATTGGAGATGGAGTCAGAATATTGGTATGTTCCACTCCGCTTTCATTACAGCTACAGTGCAAACAACAGTACTTCACTTCATAAGGGACCTACTCCAGATGTACTTGAATTAATTCTGTAGCTTTTTCTTTTGTTTTTTTTTTTTTTTTTACATTAAGGGCTGTAGAACTTGACTTTCAGTATTTAAGATATGTAGTGGTGTTTGTTGGGTTTGTTTTGTTTAATTATTTGTGAAATGCTTTTTAAAAATGTCACCCTTAGCATTCTCGCCTCTATTCCCCTTGTGTGCACACATAATACTTACACACACTAGACAATTGTCATGTTGTATCAAAAAGCTGTGCAAATGAATGTGTTGGCGTAATGTTCAGTCTAACTTTAACAGTGTTGACTCATCTTTTTAAGAATTCTGCCCTTTGTTTTTAGACTTTAAAATATTTTTAATAAGTTGATCTAGTTTATTATGTAGGAAAATTTATGTACTGTTTTGAGTCCATGATAATTTTCATTTTTATGTTATATTTTTCATGTTCAAAGTTATTGTAGATTAACTTACGGTTTTACGTAGCAGAAGGAGTCCCATGCTTTGAGCTGCATTTATTTTTCCTCTAAAAACACTTGCTATATTAGAAGCATGTACATGAACAATTCTGTTAGTTTTTTATCTTCCTAAGCAGGGGTGTGGAATACGCCTTGCTGTTTCTAAGCTCAGAATTGCAGAGCCTATGTAAAAGAATACTGTCAAGGGGCAAAAAAGAGGAAGATGAGAGAACGGGGTTTAGTCTGGGATAGCCACTGGTCCTCCTTGTTCCTCTGGTAAAAGGAGCAGGAGAATAATGACTGAAGGAGACCAAGCTTGGGGCTCTGACAAGTGGTCTGAAAGCCACTGTCATTGCAAAGATACCAAGTTATTCTGTTACTGCTGGAAACAAAGTATAGCGCTCAGATGAAACAAGTAGGTATTGAGCTGATACTTCGGTTTTCTTCCAGAATAGTACGATGTGCCACCCCAGCACTGGAGAACTGGCATTGTGTCATGTGCGTATACATGTATACACATGCTTACAGTTATGTGTACACGTGTGCATCTATCCCTGTGTATACACACATATACATCTAATTTGGCTGCAAGTATAAATTACTGTCCGGACTTGATAGCATCCACATACATAATATTTGGCATGAACTTGAAGAGTAGTTTATTTTTACTTTAAAATAAACAGTACATAAACTGCTCATTGCATATAGCCTAGAATGGGCTTAGTTTCCTGGTTCTGATTTTTGACATATCAAATTGAGTCTCTAAAATCACTGGCCAGTGCCACACCAGTACTTGGTACAATAAAGAGCAAATGTAGATTTGGTTGCACACATTTATTACACTTAACTTGATAGCTGAAAGCCATGAACTGATTTATGGACTTGGCCTGCACTGCAGTGGCTCTGAGGAGCAGTGCTAGTGTGCAGTCAGCCCCTGCCTGCGTTAGCGTGATTCAGGCTTCCTGGATCCTGACCTCATGCAACAGTGTAGGACGCTTGAGCTATGACTCTCTTCATAAAAGAGAGTCATAAAAGCAGTTCAGGCCAGCCTACATCCATCTTGTTCTTGATCGTGCTGTCATGTTTTCACAGGTTCAGCAAACCCTTTGCTTCCACTTCATTGCAATGGCTCCCTCTTTTAAAGCTGACTTTCAGCTTCCTTTCTGCACTTTTTCGCTCAGAAAAGTTTCTGGTTTTGTTCCCCTGAATATGAACTCATGAAGTTCTCCTCTTACTGTTCTCTCCTTCTACTTTATACTATTTAAGGCCAAAGATAAGATCTTCCATGTTTCAGAAGGTCTTTTGTGATAAGTTTGAAGAGTGTCCGAAGTCTTTCACTATGTGTTTGCTGTCTGCTCCTTGCTCAGGGGACCTGGTTTATACCACCCTCAGTCTGACTCCTGTAACTTAGTGGGAGACACTTCCCAACTCCTGAGGTTCCCAAACTCATCTCAAGAAGCAGTTATCCCTTAAGGATTGCCATATACATTACCCAGATGACTGCTTCTGGAGAAAAAATAGCAACATGAGGCTTGTCAGGTTCACCAGAGGCAATTTTAATACAAGCTTAAAGATCAAAAGATAATACAAGCTCATTCAAGCGAAGAAAAAGGTTAAACTCCTGATTACAACATTTTAAGTTGCAAAAGAAGAAAATAATGCACCACTCAAAGAACACACTCATCATTCTTTCCTTGCTGTCATTCAAGATCAGGAAGTCTAAGCTGCAGGGAGAGGAGGAACTGCCCTGGTGCCCTTTGCTCTTCTTTCAGAGCAGAAGCATGCTATTGGTTTGGGGAGAAGGACTTGAGACTCAGTCCCGTCCTTCTTGGGCTGACAACTGCTCCCCCAGATTTCCCTTTTCCACAGTGAGATCCCCTCCTCTCTTCATTTGTTTTTATTTTTAAGCTGGCCCGTACAACCTTGCAATAGGAGCTGGTACTGGGCTTGCAGTCCTGTGGAGCTGACACTTCTCTTCTGGTGTAAATGATGCTCAGCTCGGTCACAACCTTTTCAAAGTGGCTATCATAGCAAAGAAAGAGCTTCAGTGGTGGGTGGGTTCTCAGACTGTGTTTTATTTTCTTCTTTCATAAATTTATCTCAGATTTTACAAACAGGAGTTTCACCTTTTATTTTTACTGCTCTGTCCATCATGTATTGTAGGTATATGTTTTATCCACATCTCTTCAAACTCTCAGTCTCTGGATCTTGACAGATGACACAGTAATACAGATGAAGTTTAATATGGAGTGTTTAGTCTAAGCTACCATCCCCATTCTGTCTTTTGTCAGATTTAGGGACTCTTATCATGATAGTCTCATCTGAAGTAACTGCAAAAGAGATCTGCTTCCAGTCCAGCAGACTCTCAGTGTGTTAGGGAAGGAGTTCAGTCCGATTGCTATGCTTCAGACATTTGGACCTGCCCTCACCAGCTGAGACTGCTTACACTGGACTCTTGGGAGCCACTAACAAGAATTACCCTCCCTGAACCAGGTGCCAGGAGAAAAGTCCATAACTCCCCTGCAATCTCCATTATATAGCCTAAGGCTAAAGAAAAATATTTCAGAATTCCATCCAGAGTTCTTAAATTGCCTTGCTTGACGAGGGATCAAGCCTCTATTTTAGATGTTCTTCACTAATATATTGGATGGAAAGATTTTTCCAGCAGTAATCCCCAAATATATTAATCTTACTGTAAAGAGAGGGGAGTCTCTCTCCTACATGTCTCTCCACATATTTCTTTCACCATCTTTCAAATATATCACTCTAAATAAAATGTCAACATCCAAAATGAGATTTTTTTTTTACCTGATCATCTTTTCTGGGCTACTTTGCAGTCTATTTTTTTACCTCCATTTGTTGGGAAAATATGTAATAAGAACTCACTTCAAATCACCGCAGTAAAGTCAAGTAAAGCTGTAATGTGTGTGTAACTACACTAGTGGAAAGGTCTTTTCTCTTTTCCTTCTGGGAACTGGTAGAAATCAGAAATGCAGTTCAGAGGGGTTTTTTTCAGTGAATCTATGTCTCCTGTAGGAGTTCTAACCTGAACCCAATGCCTAAACCAGTCATCCCCTTCTACCATGGCAAGCTTAGAATTGCTTTCTCAATTGGAAAAAAAAAATATTTAAGGATATCTGTAGCATGGGCATGTACCTTTTTACCATGGTTAGCTCAGTTATAGTGCCTTTTTTACTAAGTATTTAGTATTTCCATACTCTTTTAGAAGTGTTTGTTTAGCACAAAAGCAGAAAGAAAGAGCCCTTACATTTGCTTCTCTAAGTGGCAACCAGCTTTATGGAGACACATCAAATGTACTGGACCTCAGTTAGCCCTAAAATAGCAATAAGCTTCTTACAAACTTCCTGTGAAAGCCCAGTAATGTAGCTACGACAACTAAGCTTTGCAATAAGAATTATCAGTCTTCTTTTGAAAAAAACTAAGTTTTTCCAACAGTGAGCATTCAGGGAGGTGGTGTTCCGTGTCCATGTCAACTGTGAACAATTAGTTGCTCAGTCTTTGTATTTATATCAATTACAGGCTTGCTTATATGTAGCAGCATTCATGGGATGGGGGCAATTGCAAAAGCGGTGCTGGGATTCAGATTCATTAGTCACCCAAAGCTGGAACATCCCACAGTAGCAACTGGCTGAGGATCAGCTGCCTAGTGTAAGCTCTACTGTGTTGTGCCTTCAGGGACTCCACCTTCCCCGGGTTTTTCTGGGCAGTATACTTCTCCATGGCTCCCTGAACAGCTCCTGTTGGCTTTTGTGATCAAAACTCTGTATACACGGTGCTCTCTGTTAAACCTTTCAATGGTGCTTTTATAAGATGCTGGATAAACGGTTTCAATGCGCTTTCTGAAAGCTGACATGTAAAATTGTGACATATAGCATTCGCTCTAGTATTTTCGACTTCACAGAACTTAGCGTTAACTGTGTTGATGCTGACAGTGCTTCCCTGTTTCTTCTTCATCCCATGTAGAATCAAAATGTTGTCACATGTAACAAGCCTATGTTGGGCAACAGGTGTTTAAAAGCAGCTACTCGGGACAAGTGCTGTGGCTGGAAAGCAGTTAGACACGTGACTGTGATTTGACTGTATTGTAGGACTGGAAACATCATAGATCCCAGCTCCAGGACTTTCTCCTGTTTCCTATTGTGTATATATATTTGCCCGCAATATGACTATAGGAAATCTGTTTCTGCAACAAACATGTTAGTTTGGGCCAGATTCCAAAGAGGAATTTTTGTTCTTAGGCAAATTACCATTTATTTTAGATGATCGTTAGGTATTTAGGTTGGAACATGCCTGAATAAGGCTGATATGTGCCTCACAAGTAACTTAGTATATGTCGTCTATTGCAAAAAAGGAGAATACAGAAAGAGATTCAGTATCACAGATGCTCTTGTGGTGGTGTGCTGAAGACTTTCAGGGGCAAATCTCTTCCTGAGAGCAGGAAGCGTAATTGCTGTTAATATGATAAGCATAATGATTTCGTACTCTGGAGCTGAAATTGGTTTGTAGCATCTTTTTGGGGATGGTCATGGCTGAAGATAGTGCCAAAAAAAAAAAGTCCCAGCTAGCCAGATATTAACATTGTTGAGTGTTATGCTGACGATAAGTGCTATGTATAGAGCATCACACGGTTAAAACCACTGGGTTCCCTTTCTTTAAGGAGAGAAGACCCCTTGGTTGGGTGAGTATGAAAGATCCCATGCTCAGCATTCAATGTACCTTCAGCAAAAAATATTCAACATATTAATTGCCTGTGTGATATTTTCCCAGTAGTGCATCAGGGTACCACATACACTAGACACTGTTCTTTTCCGATGGACAACAGAAAGATGAAAGCGTATTTCTGATACAAGGCTCCCATTGATTAATTGATGAAACGTACTTTACATATAAGCCACAGGTCAGCAAGGGAGTGTCTACACAATGCAGATATATTTAAGCTAACTCTAAATGATGCAGCTTAGGCATTGTAAGCAGAATCACTGGAACAACTTCATGCTCTAGTTGGATGGTTATATTGGATAGGCTGATCCACTCATATAGTGCCAGCACAAACACTCCAGTTTGCATGGCAAATACATGGAGTACCTTTGTATTACATACTATTTGGCCTGTGCCCAATCTATTTGACAACATAAATGTTATCATTCTATTTTTTCATGCTGTAAAGTTTTGTTTCTCAAGATCTTAGCTTAAAACTGTCCAGAAGGGTAGTCACTACAAATAGGATAGCAAAACATGTAAAAATAAAGATGTCAGTGCATCAGTAAAGATGCTCCCTGTTACTGCACAGCAACTTGTCTATTGTATGTGGTACTCTCTTGCCATACACATTTTTAAATAGGGGCTTTCATTTGTGATGTTCATTTATCCTTATAATAGCAAAGTGTGACAAGTTTTCTGTCTCTACAGATCTTCTAATTTTCACCAGTATGTTATAGAAAATGTAAAATAAGATTCTATGTTCAGTTTAAAGGACAGCTATGTTTCCTCTTAAAGTTTATGTTAATATAACAACTTGCTTAGATGATATAGCAAAAGTATATTCAAAGTATAGCAATATGGCTTGATTTTAAAATGCTTCATTTTAAATTTCAGAACGTCTCCCTTTCAGTGCAGACAACGTTACCAGCTCTTGGAATTTTAATCTTGTACTATTGGGGAAAGGTTTTTAAAACATCACTGATCTTATTACTTTAAAGGGAAAAAAAATACTGATGTTTTGACATTTCTAGTGTCTATGAAGAGACTCTCATATTTTTGACTTTCAGCATAGGATAGAATTGGACTAACTAATTGGAAATGAGAGCATTTCTGGAGCTGTTTCTCCCTTCCATGTTCAGCTGTCACCATCTCAGTGGCTCTTTTGTCCTTGATGAGCTATGGAAACTGTCCAGAGGGCATAGAAACTGCATCACCTTAACAATTTTGAATGGGTTCTTTTTAAATCACCTGGGGGATTTGGAAGTCTGGACTTATGCTCTTAAGGGAAATCATATCCTCAGGGATCCCCGTCTTGCAGACTTCATGGAGATCTTTACTTTCTTTCAAGGCAAGAAGATATCTAGCTTGCAAGCACTCAGCTGACATGAAAAAGATGTACTGTAAAAGGTGATTTGATACAATGTTTAAATGTATTAGTAAAAAACACCTAAGAGCACAAGAATTTCCTTTCTCACGTGTGTGTGGATACTAGAATTTGGTCTTTATCTTTGAGCTATTTCAGCGTGGTCACATAAGCAGTCTCCTCAGATTATCCTCCCAGCAGAAAGTGCTGCTCACCTATTTCAGACTCTGAATGAGCCTCAGGCTCAGTGTAGTGGCTCCTGAGTTTCTGCATGGACCACCTCCATGCTTTCCAGCGGGGCCTGTCTCTACGTGGTGGCAAGGACAGGTCAGGCACAGCCCTTCACCTCACAGCCCTCACTCCTTTTAATTTAAGAAGGGGGAATGTGAGCTGCTTCTCCTCAAGCTGCATGTTTTTTTTAGATAAATGTGTTTTTAAGAGCCACCCTGCAAACCCAGAAAAGAGCTTTTACTCTCAGGGCAGGACAGATATAGACCGCTGCAGCAACTAGGAAGAGGGAGGTAAAAGGAACAATAGCTAAGTTTAATTTGCGCTTCACCCATACCACAGACTACCTGTTTATTATAAAGATTTTTACAGTAAAAGGGATTATAATTGAAGGACAACTTTTCAACAGTCTTGTAAGAGATGAATGGAATTGCTTATTTCTTTCCAGAATTGCCTAATTGCAAAGAGGTAGTGTCAAGTCCTCTTTGTCGCACTGTGATGCAGCGTTTGCTGATCTTTTATCAAGCCTCCATATCAACATAAATGGAAATAACTTCTAAATACATGGTTTTGTTCTATGGTAAGTCCAAGTTAGACAAACGTAGGTGCAGCAATGGAAGTGCCATGTAGCCACAGGTTTCCATATATGGATCTGGACTTACACTGATGGATTATAGTGAAAATCAGAACTGGACTGTTTTATTTAAATGGGATTACTTGCATGAGCCAAGGGTGCCGGATTGGACCCTAAGAGTTTAGGAGATGTTTGGCTTGGTGCTAGGTATTTTATTTGTATTTTCACTGTAGTGATTTTTTTTTCTTTATGTCACTGAATTGATATGACTTCCATTGGCATAACAAAAACTACAGAGTATGGTATATGGATAATTATCTTTAATAGCTATTATTAAAATTATGCCTCATTAGGATTCACTTTAAATTGGGTGCTATAGACGCTTCAGCACAAAATTGCTTTATATATGGAACATTGCATACTTAAAACATATTGGATAAATATTTGTAATTACAGGCACTTCCTTTTATTTCAATCATTGTTTCATAATGGAAAAATATTTATTAGTAGAATGGTTTTCTAGCAATGTTCTCTTACCTAACGTTAAGAAGTTGGTTTTTTGGACAGCTATTTGATTCTCTGGTCACTGAAGCAGAACTTCAAACCATCCTCTAACCAGTACAATCTTGTGAAAAGAGAGGGCTCAAACTCTTCTCTGTCTCATCTCAGAGCAGATACAAAGAAAACAGTTAAATATACTGTGTAGTTCAGATCTGTAGGTGGTGAGAGCAATTAAAAGAAATGTATGTAATATAAAATCTAGAGTCAGTGCATGCAGACTTCCACGGCAGCACTAGCTGAGGCTTGTTTGCTACATGATTGGTTATTTGGCTTGCTACCTTTCTGAAATCAATGTAGTTTCGTTAACAACCCTGCAGACAGTGAAATAGTGTAGTTTTCCCAAATGTGTGTTCCATAAACTGTAGCTTGACTGTAATTGCAGAGCTTATACTACTGCTAGAGTAGTTCAGATCCAACACTAAGTTGCATTTTGTAAATTGCTAAATGCCATGAAATTCTTTTCAATGTTTTGTAGTAGTGTATACGAGTTGATGTAATTTAGTCATACCATTATTCTAAGAATCTTCATCTGATGTTTCTAGCCAATTCAGCTTTTGGCTGCTGAAAGCACAGTAGGTGATTATGGTTATTTACTGTAAATGTAGACAAGTTTTTTGTAAATATGTCAGGACAAAAAAGAGAAAGAAAATGTTACTTAAACATATGAGGCAAGTTATCTAAAAGACCAAACATAGGTCAATATGAAATACAGGTTTTATTTATGTACAGTAGTATCCTAATATTTACATGTTTATATGCAGAAAAAAAAATCTTAAGATTCTGTACTGTATTCTCTGAAAGCTTTTAAAATAGGCTCTGCCATTTTCTCTGGTTAATATATTTGCATATAACTTTTGAATTTACTGGAAATCCATGTAAATGATGTCAAATGGTAAACATGTTATATTGCAATGAAATGAATCTAATTTAAATATCCTAGGAAAAATCAGTGGATTGAAAACTTTATATAAATTCAGTATCCGGATAGAATAAAACACAATAAATAAGCTTTGTCTTTTTTTTTTTTTTTGAAAGTCTGTCTCTATTTTTTTGTTTCTCTTAACAAATGTTTCATTTAATCTTTGTGGTCACTGCTCCCACAGGTCCTAATATTGGCATTATTTGATAGAATTTTGTTTGTCTCAAGCGTTTTTGCTGCTTTCATTATCTGATATGAACTGTTAAGTCTTATTTGTGTTACATAGCACCTTACTCCTCAAAGCCACAGTCTTGTCAGGATTCAAGCGTGCGCACAACTGTGAAATCTTAAGTTGTCCCTAGACTAATGCAGGAACTCCCCTGAATATAGTGGCACTACGCCCTTTAATGTAGGTAAAAGCATTGGGCTTGGGCCTTTAAACGTTATGCAGCTTTCAGCATTTTTAAAGAGCTGCAATTACCAGCTTTATGTATTGTTTTCTGAAACTGCTATGGCATTGGATTCCTTTTTCTTTGCTAAAAATGCTCTGCAGGTAACATTCCAAAGCCATTTGCTGAACTCCTCTGTCAATGAGGAGACTCTTATTTGTGTAAAAATAGCTTTAGTACATCCCAAAGTGTTTTAGGGACAGCTGGACTAGGGCCACAGCTGAATATGTAAAGCAGAAATTTGGATTCTGCTTGTAAGTCTACCACAAGGAAATGTCATCTTTTGAGCATGTCACTGGAGCCAGGCTTCTTTGCACACCGGAGCATGAGGTTGAAATCGGGCTTAGCCTCCTGGGACTTGTATCCTCCGTTGGTTACACTTTGCCTCTCGTTAACTACAGATGAGAGAAGAGCACCCATTTAATACCAACTATTTACTGATGAACAGGTTCCTGGAAAATTCAGAATGCAGCCACAGATAGGTTAGGCTGAGCTTAGAGCCTGAAAAATTAGATTAGCACCTACAAATAGAATCTGTTTACCGTCAGGCTAATGGCTCTATCTTTGACTTGGAATGGTATATTTTAATACTCAACAATATAAGGTTAGAGGTCAATTATTTTAATAGTAAAACATATAAGGTTATAGGTCAAACACAAGACTCCTGTAAAACTAGGGAAAACTGCATGTGAAAAATCATTCAGTAGCAGTATTCAGATCGCTCTTTACTGAACTTTTGTTCATAGACCAAAAAGCTGCAAAATGTATAATTTGATATACATGTTTTATGAAGTAGCTTGTTGAATAATAGCCAGTACAGGCTCTTCTTCTGAAACATGCATACATTATTCTTTTTTTCACTCTTATTTCCAAACAGCCATAAAGTAGTACTGCTACAGTATACTACATAGTAACTGTATACTATAGTAATACTGTATCAGCCATAAAGTAGTAATGCTGCAATGGCTAGCCTCAGATTTGAGAGCAAACACGCAGAAAGAACTATGTGCCTGGTTGAAATATTGAACCATTTGCCTGTATTCTGGCTAGCCATGTAGCTATATGCAAACCTTTAGGAATGGAAAGTCATGATCATCTTTGTTCTGCACGGTCTTTGACATCACTCATAAGTAAAGTTTTAACCAAACAAGACCTTGGTATGCAATCAGGGATATACTGCAGTGACACCTGGTGTTTAAAATAGTTATTTCCTGTGAAGTGTGACTATCAATTTACTTTTAATTGGGTACATATTCACTCACAGGCTCACAGTTCACCTTGTGTTCCTGCAACGTAACGTTAGGTTGAACTAGAAAGTGCTGGAGCTCAAGAGTGGCTTTAACATTACTTTGTATAAAATATATCTGACAGATTTGTTTTAAAAGCCAAAAACTGCAGTGACATGATCTCTCATGAATGGCTCTTCTTCCTAGCGCTCTAGCTGCCAAGATGCTTTATCACTGCTTCTCAGCTGGTTATTACACAAATGAGGCTGACCCTTAATATAATTCACACAACTGGAATTTCAGTGCAGCCTTTGTGGAAGGAGAGATAGGCGAGAAGAGAGAACTGTTCATCCCGACAGAATTATAATTCCACAGGATGGATTCACAGCTCCTTCTTGCCACAAATCAGGAACCACCTATGTGCTGTAACGCTAGAAAGCATGCTAGAGCAACTGTAGGTACTTCTAAAATAGCAAGGAGCTTATCAACTAAAGCAGTCAAGGTCTGTATGTTTACAGATGCTACTGAAATGGAAAGTAAATCACCATCATCAGTTAGTATAATTATTATAGATTATAGATTATTGGGATAATAATAGGATAATAAGGATCATTATTGCTAAAGATTGCAGTTTACTACAAGACGAAGGAAAGGAAGATTTGGTAGCAATTTAGACTGCTTGACAATTTCTATTATGTGCAAGTTTTTGTGACCTATTTTGAGACGCACAGACGCGTGCCGCATTTCTGTAGCTAATTTTTGAAATTCGGGAAGGACAAAACCCTAGGGCTAGCATTGTACTTTTTATTTGTCTGTGAAATACTGTAAGGATTTGGGTGAGCTACAAAAGCCAAACTACCACAAAAATCACTAGTTTTCTACTTTAATTTATCTGGGAAATGATAGCAGCCTGGAAAAAAAAAACAAATTGAACTTTCTAAGGTTGGGCTTGTGCCTCAACAAACAGCAGCTTGAGGTTGTCAAAAGGAGAACCAAAACTCTCCAGCGTGTACCCAAAGGCTAGCACTTAAAACTTAGCATTCAGAGGTCTTTTTCCTCTCTCACCTGCAGCCTATTCTCAGCAGTAAAGTACAAAAAAACAAAGTAAGTGAGAAAAAAGATCTGGGCAAGCCGAAGTCTGGATGTAGCTCTTAAGGGAGCAAACAACTGCTGCCACAAGTAACATAGTAAGTCTTACAACCCAGTAGCAGAAGCTGACATTGTGCTATTTCTGGGTTCGAGTGCTGAAGCTATAACAGGCTGGAGAAGAAGACAGTTATCAGTAGTTTGTAAGTTTTATCTTTAGAAATACCTAGGCACTGATATGGAAAAAGGCCTATATGAAGCCTTAAGTCACAAATTCAAGCGCTCAAAACATGAGGAAATGCTGGGTTTCCACTTGTTCACATCTTCCTCACATACTCCACTTGTTCCTCAGTTCTTTCCACAATGCTTTTGCCCACTTCGTTCACCAGGTAAAGAGGCTGTTGTGCAAAAGCAGCATTGTGATCTTATTTTCAGTGACCCTGTCTTTATTGCTTGATCATTTTTTTCACATAGAAATTATCTCTGTGATTTTTAAGCATAAAAATAGCAAGGAGCTTTATTAAGTTTGTGGAGGTAGTTATTAATCTGCAATTTTTTTTCCCTCCAGATTCTGCAACCTAAGTAACATTCAGTTCAAAGGTTTGGTGTGTGTTTGAAAGATGGTAATGTGTGTGATATGTGTGTTGATGACAGTATAAGGAGTTTTAAATGGACAGATACCAAGGAGCCTATCTTTAGTATTTGCAACTAAAACAGTCATGAAGCAGCTAAGGAGAGCAGGAGGAGAGGAGCTGGGAGGTGAAGTCCATTCTCCATTATTCATTGTAATAGGAAGCTTAGGAAAGTCTAGACAGTAAGATTACTTTTTGCCGTGGCTTTTGAATCCCAGGTAGGTCCTTTTGGGTTCATCTGCAGTGCTCTCCAATGCATCTGGTGTCTAGAGAGCCTCCTAGCTCAGACACAGCCTGCTTTTGCAGCCCGCGTTACCAGAAATTTCTGTACACTCACACAGTGCAACATCCTTGGAGCTGCCTGAGTGCAGCTCCGGCCCTGGTCCTGCAGGATGAACACTGAGCCTGAGCTCATAAGCCTTCCTGGAGCCAAGCAAGCCTGTGCAAGCCTCTGCACCAGCACTGTGGTTTAACCACAAACTAAATAGTTACTACACATAAAAGAGATAATTAGGTGGTTTTGCTTTATTTGGTTAATTAAGTGTGTGTGTGTGTGTGTGTGTGTGTGTGTGTGTGTGTGTGTGTGTCAAGGGCGGGGAGGGAGGGTGGAAAATCACAGGTTTCATTTCATTTAACTTTTCTCTTGAAAGCTTTTCTTGCACACTTTTCCATTTGGAACAGTCTGAGCAATAGTCTATAGTGAAAACTATCAGAACACTCTAGATAGAGCATGAAAATAAGGGAAGAGCCTGCCAGACAGAAATATTTCTGGTTGTTTGTGGTCAGTAGATGTAAATATGATTCACAGAAGGATCAGAGTTTGGAAGCAGAGGACCTCTGGAAATGTGTGAGCTAAAGGCAACACCATGAGGTGCTACTATGACAGAAGCCTCATGTGTGAAGGGGAGATGGCCTGGGGCTCCTCCTGTACCCGCCAGCCCTGCATATGGGCTGAATTGAAAACAATGCAACTATTCTGCTGCCTGAGGGGGCTGTACAGGCAAGTTCTTAATTAAATCAATAATTTTAGGTTAACCTAAAGAGCCTCAAAGTAGAAATTCTTACTTTTTGAACCTCAGGCCAGCAAGTTTCAATTTGCTTCCAGGAGGAAATGCTTTAATATGTATGAAGGATATTTGTGAGCCTATTATAGCCCCAGGTGCCCTAACACCAAAGAAGAATTAAGTAAGTGTCTGGGTCCTCCATACAACCTATGGCTTTATGAACTTTAAAAGGAGCTTCACAATGGGCAACATACTGAGAACAAATTGCTTGAGGTAGTCAGTAGGAAACCTTGAGGACAATATCAAGGGTTTGTCATTCCCGTTCAGGGACTAACCGAAGACAGGTGGGTACTTCCTGATTCTCATGTTTCACATAAACAAACCTTTCCAGTTTGTTCTGACAGCTGGGTCCAGAAAGAAACCTGTATGTTAGGTGAGATAATGCTAGCTACCATTTGCAGTGTGAGAAAAATTAGTCTGAAGAAATGCTTAGCATATACTGTCTTCTGGAAGAACGCATGCGTGAACTCATTGAGAGACTAAGCAACCATGAATGCATCCAGATGGGGAGCACATGTCCTATCAGTTAAAATGTCTCTGTGCCCCCTTGCACCCTTGGCAAATTCGCGTAAACCCGTTGCTTTAAAGCACATCATCTTCATTATAGGATATCGAGAAAGGTGAAGTGCTA